GGTTTTAATAATAGAATATTTTTAAACACTCCATATTTCTTATAATAGTGTAAAAAATATATTCATTACACAAATACAAAACTGATAAATAGAAATGTTTCTACTTTTGACTTGAATGTTCTTTTTCCTAAATTTACTGTCAACTGAATGAATAATCGTTAGTACAAGGTTGAGGAAATGGCAACAGGATATCTTAAAAATTTTACTGACGTAAGTGAAGATGTTGTCATTGAATGAATTCAGTCCACGTTATAGACAGAAATGAAGATCTTATGAGTGCAAATTACCTGTTAAGTCTAATACCATTAGTTGATAAATTTGACAAACTTAAACCTGTGGAATGGATATTACAATCCAGGTTACCATCATTCTTATATAATACCTGGTGAGTATTAATCATATTGCTTGGCTTAAGGGTCAACCATATGTTGAACTTTATATCCATTATAGGTATGTAAAAGATTTTGTTGCATTTTAAACAGCGTAATGGTGGAAATTTTTACTTAACTAAATTTAATTGATTTTCTGTCACAGTGTGAAAGAAATACCGCGAAGTGATATTTTGTGTGAAAGAATACCAGAATCAAAATTCTCGGCTTTCCTTAATTTTACAAAGTATTGTTAAAAGATACTTTCTGGCCTGTAATAGTACAGTAGGTACAGTAAAAAGCATTTCACAGAGGCTAAAACGGCCAAAATTTTCGGCTTTCCTTAACTTTACAAAGTATTGTTAAAAGATACTTTCTTGCCTGTAATACAGTAGGTAAAGTAAAAAGCATTTCAGAGAGGCTAAAACGGCCAAAATGTTCTCTGTATATTTTGCAGTTTTGATAAATGGTGTAAATCAGATGTGGATACCTGAAAACTTTAAGGAATTCTTAGATATTTCACCCAAATTAATAACATTAAAACGTTCAAATTTTCAACATTTTATTTAAATATAGACATGACATTAAAGTCGAAACTTTTCGACATAATAGACCCCCCGCCCCATCGATCCCCATCCCCCCCCCAAAAAAAAACAAAAAACCAAAAACAGGACGAGTCTAATTCGAGTTCGCATTGTTACAACGCGAAATGTAATAAAACGATGTTTTGATTTTAACATTTTGCGTTATTACATTTTGCGTTGAGATTAACACAAAAACATACTCTACTGTTAAATTTTGAAAAATTTTTAAAAACAACGCAAAAAGTAATAAACCAATATTTAATAAAACAAAATATAATTTATTTTTTTGATTGTGTTAAACGTAAAACCTAATAAAATTGATTTTAATAAAACATTGGAAAACTCACTTTACAAAGTAATTGAACTATGAACAAGGATATCAATCGTGTATAAAGTCAACATAGATATCGTAAATGCTATGATCCACATAATTACGTGTACAATGTCAGCAAAAATAATCTATTTTATAGACGAATAGTTTAATTTTGTTGATTTTAGAGGTTAATTTTGCTATAATCCCGTATTGTTCTTATGACACTTTGATTTTGTTTTCCGTAAATATTTCAGTGTATTGATTTCAAATTTCGGAATTTAACCATAATAATATTATAATTTTATGTGTTTTTTTTTCTAAAATATATCATGTACTTCTTGGCAAATAGAACAATACTTTTTTGTAAACCGGATAAATAAATTACTAGTTGACAGAGATAAAAAATTACACAATATCAATATTAATCAATATACATGTACCAATTAGCTTTTGCCCAATAAAATGAGGGCATATTTCAAATATTATTTGTAACTCTAGCACTATATTCCTCTGCGCCTACACCGTCTCTTTAATTTTGTTTTCATTCTAATATATCATCTGGTGAGACTATTGAAACCGCAATTAGTTGAGTTCAGCAGACATGAATTTCTTCGCATGTGGTCTCTCTGTTTAAATAGTTCTATATTGAACATTTGTTGTGCATGCACTCATCACACATTTAAAAAAAACACCAGAACTATTTTTGCTTGAAACTATTTTATTTTTAAAATCAGGGTCAAGTTAGTAAAGAATATGTTTGAGTCTGGGACACCGTTTCTTATCGATCACCCATTGATGATCACAAATGAATGGCAATAGTCTTAGAATACAATGATTGGACGAATGGAGTGCAGTAAAAAATTAAATCATAAATAAGAATAAGTATCAGCTCCCTGTATTGAAGGCTTTTTAGTGCATTGAAGTCACAGCGGTTTGAATATGAACTCGAACAACATCAAAACACACGATAATATGGTATTCATGCGTGAAAATAATTATGAAACTTTAGACCAATCTTTGAAAAATTATCTTTTGAAAAGAAAATAAATTTGTCAGACGAAAATCATTGTTGTTATTTAAATCAAATCCTGGCGTCACTTTATTGTTTAAGTGCTCCATTAATTTTCAGAAACAGAGAGCTATAAACAATCATCTTCTTTTACTAAACAATATTCTCTTCTCACAACTTTTACTGTCTGTTACTTATTGGGCACAGGAAGACAATTTTTTTAAAATCTAAATTAAATTAAAAATAAATGTTTACCGGTAGATAAATCCATTAATTTATCCCGAAATTGTTTGATTCTGAAGCAGGATATATTACATATAATTACATGCATTTTGTTCGCTATTCGAGCTAATGAAAAAAAGTTCTATGATACAATATGTAAAGCACGATTTGAAACCACAATACGAGGGGTGATCAAAAAGTTCGCAAACTATCTTATATCTACAAAACCACAATTCAGATTAGAATGAAATTCGGTACACACATAGCCATACACAAGGTCTATAAATAGCATATGCTGAATAAAGTTTCTCTCCTTGTTTGTGACGTCACAATGTGAAAATGACGTCACTATTTAGGTCACTTGTGACGAAAAATGGTTGTCTCTCGAACTCGTTCAACAAACGACTGTACAATTTATTGTAATATCTTGGAAATCCCTCTACAGTATCATATAATAATTTGTACACAGTTTATTGAGATAAATGAGTTCCTATAAATTCAATTAATGATTGGATTAATCGTTTTAGTGAAGGAAAGCTGATGGTTAAAAATGATACTTGTCATCTTGCCCAGTGAAAGCAAGTTTGAAAAGATATGTATTTTTAATTAAACAATTTGCTATCAAAGACCTCCAATTAACACTTTGAAAAATAGTTGAATATTTGAACAATGATATAAGTATTAAATAACTAAGATATCGTTTATTTTAGATTTTAAACATATCAGATATAATAAAAAGGATGCACCCATTCTCTATCCACCTTGAATAAAGGTCTCTCCTGAGACAGAAGATTTGTGTTTTAATGGTAGCCATGCTTATTTTTGGAAAGGATGTTATTATCCACCCATTCTGTTGCCGAGATATGACCATTTCTGACAAATTAACTGTTCTTGTCATAAAAATTAACTCACATGGAAAGAAATATAAAACTCGGAAAAATCTTTTAACTTTTGTGACAGAACGCTACGGAGGTGGTCACTTGACCGCTAATATCACGTGATTCGCGCATGCGCAGAACGGTGGTTGATGTGCATTAAAATCGGGGAGGATTAATTTAAAATATAATCAACATTAAAACCAAATATTGTTTCTTGTATGGAAGTTATTCAATTAGTTTGCGAACTTTTTGATCACCCCTCGTATTTTCGAATTAATCTCCAACTAGAGATGCGTATTTCAACCCCCCTTCCGTGTTGGGTCGTTTTCAATCACAAATTTAAACTTTAAAATTTTTATTGAAATCAATTTCAATATCGAAAAAATTTTGATAGTATCATTTATGGTAGGAAAGAAAACACCAGGTGATGAATTTTGAGTATTAGCTTTGTATATGCTTTTTTACCGACTTTATTTTAATTCAGCTCAAAATATGGCTATTGAATTTTAACAATTAATCAGTATATACCACTGAATCATTATTTTGCGAGGTTAATGAGAACCATGTGCCAACATAAAGTGTATCTATGTTTAAGTTTTATTTTAATCATAGCAAATCTACAAATCGAGTAGAATTTTAGAGAAATTATGATTGAACGATACATTTTCTTCACCTGGGCACTATTAATTGTTTATCATAATTAGAAACCATTGAAGAGAATTGAATTTTTAAATGTAGTGTACCTCTGTATCAAGCTCTTTTCATAATCAAATCTGTAACTGAATTATTTTGAACAATTTGCAAGAGTATGCGCAAAAAAAGGACGGATATGGTCTTTGATCAGTTTATGAATTCTAAGCCAGAATATAAACCTGTAATACTGTTCATTATAATAAACATATCAACCAATCTTGCATGAGGAAAATTAAAAAGCTAACATATGTATTTAATGAGAAGAAAAAACCATCTTTATCTTTCTAATTTTAAAATCACTGAAAGTCCATTCATGATTAATTTAATTTTGAAATGAAACTTAGTTTCCTGTTCAAATTTTAAGGAAAGTGCTTTATTAAATAAAAAAAATCGTATTTATAAACATGTAAAATGTCAAATTTTGTAGCATAATATGGATTTGTTTATTGTGCGTTTCCAGTGGGGGTAATTGTCGAAGTGACATTTCAAACAGATTCCGTTTATATATTCACGTACTGTTGATTCAGATGCACACAGCTAACTCGTAAGTGAATCAAAGCTTAGTCTTTATCATCGAGGATTAATTAGATCAGAAACCCAGCGTGGACAGACGGCTCGTTAAGATAACCCCCAGGATAAGATCGGTTGAAGATGAAATTTTAAGGGAAAATTCATCATAAAACAAAGGTTACACGTAAAAAATTACCAATCCAATGATAATTCTGAAATCTGCACAGGACTGTTTAGATGCATATCCCTCTATTTTTCTTTATTAATAAGCTGGAATTGTAGCATTATTGCGAACAAGGATGCTTTTGGTTATTCTCACGTACACGTCGCAGACCACTGTTAACGCCCACTATCTGATGTTCAATAGATCAGTATTTAAACAGCTGATGGCACTACCATTTCATATTGTGTTCAATAAAATGTATATTTACAAGCTAAAAAGGCTGGTGTATATTGGAGTTTAAAAGATATGGTAAGTTTTTTTTCCACCAGAAACATATTTTCCAATCAATGAGGTCTGTTGCACCTTAATTTTGTTGTTTTGATTTCATAAGCTTCAATTTTATATTACGATGATTAAATTGTGCCCAACTTTATTACTTTTCATTTGAAAATAATTTCTTCGTTTATTTGGTGCGAAAAATGTTAATAACATATTTAACATATGATGCCCCTTTTCATCTTTTAAAGATAAAAAAGGAAATTCTGAAATGTCCTCAAAATACTTTGTCATCAACAAGTCTCTTTTTGATCAACAAATTGGAAATAAAAAAAATACATTAAATTTTTATTCTTTAATGCAAAACCCACGATATCTTCTATTTTTAACAATAACATTAAATATTTGAGAAGGTGATGCTTTTTTTTTTAAAATAAGTTTATAAATTATACTAATTTTTATGAAGCGGATGCGTCTGCAAGAAAAAGTTTTGAAGATTAGTTTATCCACTAAAATACACACTCACAAACAAAGCAGGATGTCAATTTGTATTATATATTTTGCCTGTTAACCGTTTGTAAGTGTGAAAAACTGTGACAAAATTGTACTCCCTGCCAACTACTATAGTTTGTTTTTGATACATGTATACCTTCCGATAACCCAATTTGTCAATAATACGTCAATAAGTAACCTTTTATCAGATTTCATCGATAACATCTTTATATTATATGTGGTATATTAGGAATTTAGAGAACATGCATACCATAAACCATTATTCAATAATATAAGTATCATTTTCATGACTTAAAGTGCTCAAGATATTGATATATAATTGTGTAATTCTCTTCGTGAAATGTAATTTCATCGTACAGTGTAACGATAACATTATACACGTACAATTACCTCTTTTGAGGTCAATACGGTGATTAAGCCATCTAAAAGTACAATATTCACCAAACCTTGAGGGCCTTACAGTTTGCATGGTAAAGGTCATTAAATGATATTTGTTTGCAAGGTCCTTGTATTGACCATAGAATTTAAGAAAAAATATTTACATTAAAAAAATTATTAATTCCCTTATTTCGTCAACCTATTTGATAATAGCTTGTCTTATTGTAGCACCTGTTGGTAGTTAAAGCTATCATTGGATAGTATTTTGTCTGACTTGTTACATACCAATTGTTATGACTCTGTTCTTAGACTAAAATTGATTATGGAATGTTCCATCTACATGTACCTGATCAATATATTGTAAAAAGGGCCTGCAGCGGCGGGTGTGAACGGTCAACAGGGATGCTTACTCCTCCTCGACAACTGATTCCAACTTCCGGGGTCTTTGTGTTTTGCTCTGTTCTTAGATTTGTGTTGTTTGAGGATTTTGTAGATCAATAACAAATTGTTATCTTTGTCACTTTTATTCATACGCAGAACATGCTCTTGTCTGTCGAACCAACTAAGCAAAAACATAAACACACGCAAGTGATAATGGTTTATTACTGGGAAACTTATGACAGAAAAAGATACCAAATTTATGATAAAGTTTTATTGTTAAATTACCATAAACCTCATTTCTAATTAATAAAATGTGTAAGATAATTTTTAATCGTCTATTTCGAGTGAAGAGAGATGAAAAGAATCAACCATTATACCACCCAGTGATTGATATATCTGAATGTTGAATTTACTGGCCACAACAAGAGACTCAATCTGGAAGACTTTTACCAAAACTCTGCTTGATATTAATAAAAAAAAAAACAGGTCTGCTCATAACGGTGCACAATAAGTACTCATGGGAATTCCAAAAGAATAAAAGAAGACTTTATCAAAATAAAAAAAAAACTACAGATGTAAAATTAATCAGAAAATCGAATATTTATTAATACCGGGATCAGCTTAATTGGGAGTACTTGTGTGTGCAATCCGAAAGTAAAAACAAAAGCAAAACAAACAGCCTCTGTGAATATTTTTCTGCTAAATTAATTGCAAAAAATGAAAGATAAGAAATAAACTGTGCACATGGAGACTGGTCCCCTGCATCCCAAACATCCCCGATTCTATGTGCCTTAAAGTTTATTTGATGTGAGTGGAGTCGGATGCAAGTAAAATACCTTTCTTGGCTTATTTCTGTCAATTTTGAATTTTTCGAAATATTTTTTGCAAGATATGGAAAAAAAGTATTTATGGTCACACGTAAGCCAACGTGCAGGTGAAGATAGCTTTCAATGAATTATAACAATAATTGGTGTTCAATCCTTAGCTAGGTCTAATAACTCTCTTTAAAAAAATTAATTAATACCCGGTAATTTTATTTCAGTACAGTCAACAATATGTCTGTCCAAAAAAATATGTTTATAGAAAGAGTGATGGAGAAACACTTTCTTCTGATTTAAACTCGAATTTAGGCGTTCTCTCTCTCCTAAATTCTAGTACACCTTTGCTTTCAATGTACGCAAAAAATATATGTATATATAAATAAGCTGTATATTAAATGAAACATTGAAATATGTATCGATTCACATAAAAAACAATTTAATGTGTTTCTTAAAATATATTTTAAAACTTATAATCTATGTAATTATGTACATTTTTATAATGAAAAAAAAAACCATGAATTTAGTATGTTGCTCCTTTAAGCTGTAGTGTCCTTAAATCAACCCAGGTCATTGAAAAAAAAAACTTTTTACAGGACATTGACTGGATTATATTTCTCGTAGATGAACCATTGATAAAAATGATGGGGACGCATTTCTTAATGAACGGAATTCGGGGACAGAAGAGTATGCGTTACCCCAAATCATTTATTTGAGACCACCGGCTAATTAATCATTGAAAGACACCCAATTAGGGACCGAGACGATATTTTTTCATTCTTTGGGTTCAATTGCAAGTGGATCTCCATTAACCAACCAAAGGGCGAAAAGACTGATGGCTGGGGATGCCAGCGCTCCTAATGCTCTTAATTGCTGTATTGATCTGTTTAATCTGTCTCAAAAGGTTTCCTGAGTAAAGGTGTGTGGTTATTGACTTAACAAGAGGCCTACGATTGTATTTAGTAAAAAAAAAGTTCAATGAATTAGAATAAAATAAGTTTATTGTCTAAAACGGATATTTAAAAAAATCAAGAACTGATAATTAGGTTTTCTCGCTTTAATACTTGCTTACAAATTTGCCCAGTGTTAAATTCGCCCAGTCCCAGTACTAGTTTTGTTTTAGAATTTATACTACATGTATGTTGTTTGAATTCGCCCCGTTTTGAATTCGCCCACTTGTGACAAGGGCGAAAATTTCTCTGTATACAGTATATATGTAATAATTATTTAACATGTACAGTGTACGTTGTCATAATGTTATTCAAAAATTACAATATGACGTTAAGGAAAGAGAGAATTATTAAATTTTTGTTTTCTGCGCTCACTGCAGAAAAACAGTCAACCTATGCAGACAGACCCTATCCTTGATCTACATAATTACTTACTATTCTTGACTGCAAATCATCACTAAGTCTTTAACACAATTACAAAAAAATGAATGAATAAAACTAAAATATGAATAGAGAGAGGACATCCAATGTTTAACAATTTTTCACATTTCCCATTTAAGGAATCCCACATGCGAGTTTTGTATAAATAAGTTTATTTTCTTATTTTTATCAATAAATTGAGTTTCTGAAACTTCCGAGTTTATATGTCATTCTGGTAAAATATGAGCTGATCGTGGTTACTCGTAGACAAGGTCACGCATGATATATTTGGCTGTGTTTTCAGTTGTGTTGGTTGATAATAAATTTAGTTCACGGTGTCGGGATACCGTTCTCTTTTTTAAACATGTATTCGAACATACATGTTTGTAGTGTGTATTGGAATTTCTGATTTGAAAGCAGTTCTATTTTCAGGAAATATTTATCCAATGTGAGTAGAATGATTGCATTTGAAACAATATAAATTAATTCTTCCTCAAGAAAATTAATTTACTGAAATTGTTATTTGGTAGGGACCTCATTTTTTTTCTATTGTAATTAATGTTAACTGGATAGAAATGTGACTTTGCCGTTTTTTTTCTCAAATTGTAAATACGATTATCAATTTAAATAATATAAGAATTAATCAATCAAAATAATTTTTTGGAATACTTCCCATTAAAAATTATGAGCTTAAATGAATTTCTTTAACTGAAAACCTGTCTTAAAAATGTAGAAAGAACAGGTCTTGTAAATTTTTTTTATAAAGTTACGATGTTATAAAAATTTATCCCGGGCTTTTTACATGTGTGTCCAATGGGAAATGAACAAAAATGAAATGAAATGCTCTTGTCAGGTGTTATAATTTTGGACATGAAGCTGAACTACTCCTACGCTGTCCCGATGCAATTTCATACGTTAAGCATGAAATAATTATGAATTATATAATACATGTATATAGTGTAAATTAACCAATTTTCCCATTTCTAAGGAAATCCCATGTTCCTCACAGTAAAACTTCTAAGCTAAGCATTTATTTTTAAGGCATCTATTGTAATAATTATATAGTCTACAGTTATAAATTTAGGTTAGTACTAGGTTTAAAATAATTGTTTAACGTGTTTGATGTAAAACAGAGAATAGGACTACTGCGGGTATATCGGCCTTGATATATACATGTAATTAGAACACAATCTGGCATTTCATACATATTTGTATAGTTTAAGTTATCATTTGAAAATTGTCCAATCTCTCATGTTCGAGTAAATGCGAAGTTCTATTTTTTAAACTTACTTAGTGTACATGTACGTCATAAGTACTAATACAATTATCACTTACTACTACATGGAAAAGAATTCAACACAAAAAAAATATAATATTGAAATCAGAGACTTTATTCTGATCAAAGAGTGTCAGGAGTCTTTCAAAGTGTCATGTTTTTCCAAGGACTGTTGGTTAGAAAAAGGTGAAATCGGTTGAGGTCATTAAAACTATTACTTAAAAATCAGTTGATCAAATACTAGTATATTAAACCCATACTGAAAGCGTCGTAACAATGTATACAGCGATCAACATGATTTTGATCTTATCTTAGGACTGAAGTGGGGACATATTGATAATATATATGTATCAAGGTTGACATGTGAATGAATAGTCACATTTATATATATCGTATTCATGAAGAGATATCTTAAATGTAGTTCAAATGATAGTGAATGAATCTACATGTAGGTTGAAACATATGGGGGTAACAAAGTTTGAATGTCTTCTAAAATTGTTTGAAAATCTCCAAAGTACAGACCTATGGGTTCAATAAGTCATTTTAATTAAGAAAAACATCTTTATCAAGTGAATAATGTTAAAATCATGACCCTATAGATAACATATGAGATAAAGTTTGATACTGGAATATATTATAAGAGAGTGCCTAGAATTCGAAATAAATTTTAGTACTCTTCCCTTCCTACATAAAACAAGAGTAGCAAATCGACGTTCACAGATAATATGGCCTAGACAGCAAGTAGAATCTCTCATAAGTTGAATGTTAAGTGACGTTTTCATACAAATTGGTAAGGCCATGATTCTCACACTAAGGCCATCTTTAAAATAATGTTTGATTGCCCTCCATTGACTCAGGGAAAAATATTAGGTCAGTAGGCAGGTGGGAAAATCTCTCTCCAGAAAATTTCAATATGTTTGTTGACGGAAGAAAAGGATATTTTGTCCTGGAATGTAAAAAAAAAGTTTAGAGTAGGCAAAGTTTTAGACAGTCGTGGAGGGCAACCAAACAATTTTTTAAGATGATCAAAATTACCTACGGATTTTCCCGTTTACCCAATCTTAACAATGAGCACACAGAGGATCGACAGGAGAGGTTTTCTCCTCTAAGGCATCTGATTTTCTGCTCTGTTCCCGAAATGTATTTCTTATAAATGACTTTTGAGCTTGATAACTGTTGTGTTCATATTTCATTTACAACTGATATGTTGTTGTCCGAGTTCCATTGTTCCACCCTGACCACATCAGTTCTGGAAAAACAACAACATTACACCTTTCCAGGTCCATGAAATAATAATTTTTACTTTTTTAGGTCTCGATTTGGTGCCCTGGGATGTGGTCTGATAAATTCTGTCTACACTATGCATGCTACATTATCATGATATTATCATGCGTGGTTTCACTACACGCGCACAAAGCAAGAACGAATGGTCTCAACATCGACAACAATGTGCTCCAAATACAAAAGCGTTCGTTAGCAAATCATAGACTGCAAACATTCAACGATCTACGTCAGGTTCTTCATAAAATGGAAAATATATACTCATCTACAGGTATGTCACCAAGGGAGAAACGAATTTGCAATTTTCTTGTTTTCAGAAGAAAAAACAAATAAGCAAAAATAATAATCGAAATATAATGAATAAATATCATGGTATCAACATCAATTATGAACATCATTTTGAAGTTTCACGAAGTCGTGATATGACTGTGAAGACCATTACGTTCTTGTTGAAGCAGTATTGATGAGATTTTACACATCCTCTGTAAAGAATGTTTTCAAATCATAAAATTAGATTTCTTCATTAGGGATTGAAAACACTTTTTGGGTTTTCTTGTTTGTTTGTTAAAATTTTTGCACAAGTTCTAATCACTGAAATAAAGGGTTTTTATTATTTGCAGGTTTGTAAATATTGACAAAAAAAAAAAAAAAAAAGAAAAAAAAGAATATATCAGTATTAATATGACATTTTATATTTGAAAATTGGCCCAATTCTTTGAAAATTCCATCATATTGATACCAACTATACACAGTCGTACCGATGAAAAATTGATTTTTAGGTCACCTGAGTAAACTCAGGTGACCTACTGCTATCTGTTTTCGTCCGTCGTCGTCCGTCGTCCATCGTGTGTTAACATTTGAACATTTTCATCTTCTTCTCTGCAACCACAGAACCAATTTCAACCAAATTTGGTATAAAACATCTATGGGTGAAGGGGAACAAAAATTGTGAATTTCATGATCCCTGCCCCCCCCCCCTGGGGCCTGAGGGGTGGGGCCAAAACCACCAAAATTAATGCAATCTTTAAAAATCTTCTTCTTTACTCCTGGACATCAAGCAGTCAAACTGTTTGCATGATTGTAACCATCAATGAGTCCTCTACCAAAATTTTGAAATTCATGGCCCTGGGGTCAGGGGTTCTAGTGCTAGGGCGGGGCTAAATAAGTAGGTAGTGAAAATGCATTATTTCTATTGGTTAGGGCGGGGCTCTATTGATTATATAGTGAAAATACATGAATTCTTTGAAAATCTTCCTCTCTGCTCCTTGGTATTAAATAAACTAACTAAGTACATAGTTATGATAAGCAAGAGGGCCTTTACCAAAATTGTGAATTTTATGGCCCCAGGGTCAGGGGTTCTTGTTTTAGGGTGGGGCTCTAATGATTATATAGTGAAATGCATGATTTCTTTGAACATCTTATCCTTTGCTCCTGGTTAATATGCTAATGATCTAATTACATATTTAAGGCCAGGATTTATTTTATTTTCAGTTTTACAAACCTTCCGCTCAAGGTTTTGAATTTTCAGAAAAAAAATAAAACAATTTTTTTCTTTCCGATGTCAAATTTGAGTCGGGATCGAGATTTCAAATTTACGAACTCGCACTTCCGGTTTTACGATGAAACGGCGGGTAAATAAAGCTAGATCTGAGAAGATAGCTTGGTTTAGTGTAAAATTCATCTATAAGAGTGCCATTCAAAACGTTTCACCCGTTCAAAGGACAAATAAAATGCTGACGACTTTGTTGCACAATGACATGCTGGTGAGATAATTATGTATTCGTTTCAAAAGTAACTGTAAATTATTTTCCTCCCCCAGATTTTAAACTGCCCGTGGTAGCTATTGCATATTGCCAGCGACATTGTTTAGGTCTCTGTTATAGCTTAAAGTCTAAGCATCATTCTTCAGAAAAGGGTTGCTTATGCATCAGATGTAATGAATAAACTATGGGAGAAGTTAAGTCCATTTGAGGAAGAAATAAACAATAACCTGAAGAAATAAAAAAAATTCAACTATCAAAAGGCAAAAATATACAAATATATACAGGCATGTAGTATCATTTGTATCAGCCAGAAATATTATTTTACACTTAATTGAAAAAATGTTCACCCTACTCCCCAATACTCCCTGTCTGTTTTATGATAGGAATTATAATTTTAGGGATCAAGTAAATTTTAGAACAATGTCTACACATTCACCTAACACATATTAAAAAAAAATGAATATATATTGAAAGACTTTTAAAGAATTGATTTTTTAAAATATATTTTGATCAACATCACAAAATTTATATAACTGGCCCAAACTGGCAGATGATGAAATAAGCAATTAAATGTTCTACTTTCCTATTTGTAAGCATTATGTGTCCAGTGGTAAGGAGCCTATTAGGATAGCATAAAAAAAGAATGTACAAATGTTAATAATTGATTTATCAAAAAAAAATTATTTCTTTCTCCTTTGGGACTTTTTTATTCTCATGTTCATAACTAAACCTAAACATAGGGGGGTACTTTGACTAAAAATAAATTAATGCTTTGAAATCTGCCCTTTGATAAGCAATGGTGTCTCTTTCAAAAATTTGTGAATTTCATGGCTTTTGGATTAAAACACGAACCAAACACAATTGCTGGAAAGTTGTTACATGATACTCAGGTGACCTATAAGGCCCGTGGTCCTCTTGTTTATTTCAAAATTTGATTCTTAAGTACACTTTTTCAAAAATTGTATATTTTTCTTGTTTTAATCAAAGTCTGTATATTTTTATTATTATTTTTTTTTTTACAGATAAATACAGTATTTTACAAAGTAAAGCTCGCGAGAAGAGAGACGCCGTCGGTAAGTATATCATTTCACCGACATTTTTACTGCTCTACCAAGGATGATTTTACACATAGTTTCTTTTGCTAGGCATTTGTTTTGAAACAAAACAGAGACTGATAGTTTGGCAACGGGGTTTATCAGAAAGGGGGTTAGGGAGGACGATCATCAATTGATAAAAACGCATTTGACGGGTGAAAGAGTGCTTGAAAATTATTTCATACACTCAAGTTATTTTGTGCCAATATTCGAAGTATTTCGCGTTTTTCTTATCAAATCTTTGCGTCTACATCATTTAAATAATTTTTAAAGCCCTTCATACGAATTTTGATTTTTGACATGTTCTAAACCAATTAGATAAGTCGTTAATAAAATCCTGGCAGCACAGTGGCATATCATTGGATTTTTTTTAAGAAAAAAAGGAGGGTAATGCAATTGCAACCTGGAGATATATAGGAAGGAAAAGAGAGAAAATAATAAAATTATGAACTCAATAAATATAAATTTAATCATTTCTATACTAGCAATGTTCTGAGCAACTTATTTTCAATTGGAATTTTGTATATGTTGAAAAAGGAAACCAACAATACTTTCTAATTTCATTTTTTACAATTAACAAACTTAATAAATTAACAATAAACCAACTTTGGTTCAATGAATACTTTTACAATTGTCTGAACTGAATCAATTATTTTCTCATTTTCGAACGTGCATGTAATATTAAGTTTAGACCTGCTTTAAAATGAACATCAGTGGCTACATTTTGTTATTAATAACAATAATGACGCAACAGTGGTATGTCATAACACGCTACATGTACTTCTGACTTGCAGGAGTCAACATTGAACAAGCATAAGCCTCGCCCTTCCGTCTTACACAACACCATGTAAAAGTACATGTATCTCGCCCTGAACATTTATCATGCTGGGGAAGCAGTGATATTTTTCAATCTAAATAAGTTCATATGTAATACAATACATGTGTTATACAAACAACCAGGAGTGCAAAGACGTACACTTCTAACTGAAATTCTTGATTACTGAAGGGAATTTTAACAGTTTCGCAAATGTTAAACTTTATCAAATGACATTCCTATCAAATTGTCAGATATTGACGATATGGTGTGACTTGCATTCTAACATAAGTCCCTAACATAAAAACCGAGGCGTCTGTCATGGCAAGCGTTGACACTATTTTTCCATTAATTCCCGATTATGATAAGGAGCAGACGGTGGGTGAGACCCGTCTGCCGGGGATGCATACTCCATGGCACCTGATTCCACCTCCTGATATTTTGGAGATTCGTGTTTGCTCTGCTCCTATATTGTATAGTTTTATGGACTTTTGATCTTGAATACTGTTCGTTATCTCCATTTGTTTCACGTTCCAGAACTATCACTGCTTGAAGGCCTAGGGTCTGAATATGATTCCCTTCACCAATATTTGGTGACGTCTCTAAACGAGTGAAAAATTCTCGAACGAGACTTAAAACAACAATCAATAATAAACATTTATACTATAAGTATCACCCATCCAAAATAATATATTAATAAATATCTCTTGTAGCCCGCGTGGCGTAAAGGTACAAGTAAGAGCGTCTGCTCTAGAGTTGCGAAGAAAGGAGTTGATCCTTACGTCGCGGGTTCGTATCCCACTGTGGGACGTGGAGACTGGTCCTTCGGATGAGACCGCATAAACAGAGATTCCGTGTAGCAGTTGATGCTTGCACGAAAAAGCTCCCTCACTGCTCAATGGCCCTGGGTGCCGAGTATAGGACAAAAGAATGGAGGCGTTCAAGGCGGGGACAAGCCCCGCTCTGAGAAAATACATTTCTTAATTCTAAAAGTTCATGAAAAGTTATATTTTTGGTTTCTATTGAGACTTGATAATAATTTTCAAATTATTCCGATACCTGCACTCCGATGTACAAGTAGGTGGAGAAGACTTTTAAATGAGTATCTATTTATTGCAACCATGGCAACTTAATATGATAAGTGACTTAACGAAATGATTTATAACTGTAAGCGAATTAGAATTTTGTAAAAAAGTTTATCAGTTAAATTTTGCTTCATCCAAATTTTCTTTAAAATTTCTGATGTAAAAATATTTTATTAGAATCGTTCAAACTAGAAATTAAATCATTTTTAATATAATGTTGATAAGATCAATTTATATATGTCAAATATGACACAAGAATTCCAATGTAGTCTTTTTTGTTTGTTTGTTTGTTTGTTTGTTTGTTTTGAAACCAGGTCAAAACTATAGAAAATGGAGAAGCGCTTTGAAAACATTTAGCAAAAAAATCTTTTAAATAGTTTTCGTGGTATATATCACTCATCGAAATACATGTAAGAAGCCATTAAACAGAGTTATGGTCCCCCGCGTGGCGCAGTGGTATGAGCGTCTACTCAAGAGTCGCGGAGTAAAGAGCTGACTCGAATCCCATTGTGGGACGTGGTGACAGGTCTTTCGGGTTATATAGACTGTACAAACCGAGGTCCCATGTCGCAGTAGATGCTGGCAAAAAGAGAATCCGCCTTGCTCAATGGCCCTAAGTGCCGAGAAAAGGACACAATTTGTACATGTAGCTCTACAGACACTATATATTGCAACTAGCTGAAGGGTTAAAACACTTCCTCTGAGTTAATTTTAGATAGATGATATTATTTAGATTGTATTATAAGAACAAGGCATTACAAGAGTTAACAATTTTGGAAATGGATGAGGGTTATTATCTAAACCTGCAAGGGCACCTTAAGAAATTTCAACATCTACCGATACATTTCGTCGTTTCAGTAGACATATAATTTTTCTTATGAATATGCATTGAAACTATATCAATTAACGTTTCATTCTGCTGTACGTTCGATTTTGATTAAGGATACCACGATGACCTGAAAGTCATTGAACTGTCGTTTTAATTTTAGGTATTTTAAGAATTAAAAATTGATAAGCTTCTTATAACTATACTAGGTATTCGTGAAGGATGTTCACTTTAAGCATGTTATTAAACTATATAAATTAAAACGAATAATTTGTTTTCTTTATCAAATAAAAATACATATTTCAGTCGTCATGGCTGTGTATCAGATTCTGCTTGTTACTGAATGACTCCGGTCACAATTATGCTTTGAACAACAAGTAATCAACCATTCCAAATTAAGTACTTCCCTATTCCAGCTAATCGTTCCACATCCTCGTGCACGGCGAGCGCTCTTCTGCGCTTGAATCGAATTTTTTCTTTGAAAATGTATATACACTTAATGTCGTCTATTTGTCTTTCGCACCTGAAGACCGATGACAGAATTTTTTTTTAAATATAACATCCATTATAATCGAATCCTGTCACTTTCTTTGGTTTGTATTATCAAAGATAATTAGGAAATAATCTAATGACACGGTCCAATCATCAAAGATTCGCAAAGACCTATTCAAAGCAACCTTCTATTCTGATTGTTGTTGAGTAAGCAAATGTAACTTAAAGTACACATTTTGTGCTCGAAACTCTTTAACTTGGATAATTAATATCTTATTTTAGGTAAATTAGATCTATTTATACCGATGGGAAAACTTGAGTCGATCAATTTTTATCCAAAGACAAGAAGGTGAAATATCGATCTAGTTTTGAGGAATTAACCATAAAACAATTCACGAATTAGATTGGTTGTTGAACATGATTGTGAATTTCACCTCGAGTTAAAATCAATGGAAGATTAATTATAAGCAAAATTCACCGAAAAGAGTTACATACTAATATCAGAGTGGCGTTTTCTAAATAATCCTTTTAATAATCTTTCGGATTGACAGTATCATAATATTTGCTAGACATTTTTAAAATTATATAAAAATCATTCAAAAATGACATTAATGAATGATTTTTACGGATAACAAAGATATACAGTAGATGATATTAAGGGTGTTACGAAAATTCGTTCCATGATAAAATATTTTCAGAAATTTCAAAGTTACTGTAGTACTTAACTGAAGAGATGAATTTTTAAGTTTGACAAAATCAGAAGTGTGCTTTTAGATTTATAGCAATTCATTTCAAACATGAAGTTATAGGGTTTTTCTTCATATGAAAATATGTATGACATTTTTAAAGCACCCGAATGAAGAAATGTTGGTTATTTTGAGTGAAAATATAGGATAACTTACTTTTGTTTCTTCATAGTTTAACTTGCATCAAACAAGCGTATGAGTGTAGGTATAAGAACGATCAATCACTTTTCGAAAGAATACGTTTGTCATTTTGAAATTTTTCACTGACTTGATAACTTTTGCATAGTTTTTGAAAGGATGTTTTGACCTATGTGCTTAATATATGTCACAAATATACCTCATCTCTAATTTTTCCTGCTCAGACACCATCTCTTTAAATACCCCCCCCCCCCCCCCCATTAGAGATTCAACAAAAGACAGTTAAAACCTTATCAGCAGCAAGAAAGGACTCTGTAAACATAAAATATCACAAATTGTTGATATCTTCTCATCGTATTTCTTTTCGAAAATAAAAGAAAAATGTGTAATTTACTTTCTTAACACCCTTTAGATGTAGAGAAGATATTTGAGGAATGTGTCAGATTTTAATGCTCATTCAATTTATAATAGTTAAAATAAATAAACTTAAACGTTCATGTTTCTTTTGAAGGTTTTGCCGGAAGTGACATTTTGGATACTTTGTTGTCTACATTGCTGCGTCCTGATCAATCTGGCCGTGCCCCGACCTCCCGCCCCCGCGGTCGTCTCAGCGTACAGGCCAGTTTTGCAATCCTCCGAAATCGGATGCAGAACGAAGGTTGACGGTTACGGAATCTTAAGGAACTTTGATCTGATATTTATTTTTTAAGGTTTTGTTGTTGTCTGTTATTCATTACCTGTTACGAAATGATTGCATTTGAAACGTCATATTATTTATTTACATTCATTACATGTTTTCCCTTTTTCATATCAGAATTTAACACTTTCATATGTTTGCATATTTTGCTAATTATGACCTAATTAACATCCTTTTTTAAAATAGAAAATTTCATATTTATGAAGATTTTCTCACAATATGTCCGCTGAATCTTTTATGGAATTTTATTAAGAGACCAATTTGATGAATTCAGTATGAAGGACATGTATATGAGTCCATTTCTTCATTTTACACATTTTTTTCATCTAGTAATGCTCAAAGCACATTTTAATCCCCATGAAAATAACTGCATTATAAGGAATTAAAAACAAATAATTTGTCTAAGCTCAAATGTATCTGCATATTATTGTTTGTATAGCTATTAAGTAAAGTTGGGAAGTATTGTCTCATTACAAATATCGTTACGAAGTACACAAACAACTGAGTACTTACGTACTCATTAAGATTGTAAAATTGTGAAAAAAGGTACATGTTTTCAAAAAAAAAAAAAGCTAGTAGATGCCTGTTACGGAACATATACCTTTGCTTAATCCCTGTTGAGATTCTGCTGGGCTAGATATTTGGACTAGCGCCGTCGCAGAATCCAAATATCTAGCCCATCAGAATCTCAACAGGGATTAACCTTTGCTCAAAGAAATACACCTCTGTTATAAAACATATACTTTTGAAATCAAATACAGTACAAACTCAGTTCATGAATATTTGAATTTTTGTTGATGTTCCTTTTTCTTGCAAATAAACATTCAAAATGACAGGTTTTTTTTACTTCGAGAAATACTTTGAAAATTTGAATCTGAAAGTAAATTTTAAACCTAAAGAAAGTGGTTGTGAAACATTTGCCCAAGGCAGAACTGTAGCTCTCTGCTTGAGAAAATATGGAGAGATAAAGCTGAGACTTCACAGAACCAAGCGTGATAATCTTCGAGTTCCGCCGCTTTTTTGGATTCACTTCGGATATAATTTCTTGTACCAGTATATTCAGCTTTCCTCCACTTTAAGAATGATATCCATCAAACATGTGCATGTTTCACAACTTCTATGGATACTTATTAATTTTATCATTTAACGGTCCCAAACATCCCTTTAAGTTTTTGAAATGGGTTTACAAATTTCCATTCCGACGTCCATGTTGGAGATTATGCGTAAAAAAAATATCTTTCAAAGAGCATACGCTGGCGGCCAAAAATAAAAGTAAAATATACGAGGGTTGTTCGAAAAAGTTCGTGGACTTCTTTCATATCTTTTTTATTTGACGTCATATGTTATAATTTAATTCAAACCATACAAAGATTTGAAAAATGCAAAAATCGGACCGCGGAGCAGGTCAAAACGAAGAATTGTTAGATCGACTCGTATTCCAAATGAACGCTTAATATTTTACTTTTTTGAAATGAAATCAACTTGAAAAGATAGGTAGTCCTCATTGAAAACGATGACAATTAATTAGAACATCATGAAGCAGCAGATACATTGTAACGATGCAATTTTGTGTTTTTTACTCAGGAAAAAACCTGAATAAACTCAAAAATGTTTGAGGAATAACACAAATATGTCACAAGCGAGTTGTGCATGTGTGTACAAATAGTACAGGCAGTATTTGAGTGACGGAGACTCTGTATCGGATAAGGAAAATCTGTGAAGAAATTGTTTAACTCTAAAAACTTTAAAAATCTGGAACGTCAAGGAAAGACTTAGGCGCTTCAGAGTTTCTTATCCTGTGAAAGCAGAGTTAAGTAATAAAGAAAATAAAACCTTAAAAAGGAAATTATACAATGAGATTAATTCTTTCAAAAAAAAAATAAATAAATGTCAAGTATAGGAAAAAAAGGGATTTTATGAGTGGGCATTGGATCTTACTGTGTAAAATGTAGAGGGGTAGTATTTTTTAGCATTTCGTGACACAATGTTTTGACGTTACATTGCATTAAGTGTGCTCCGCGGGTACAAAACATGTTGATTTTAAAATGATTCAGAAGTAAATTGATTTCTAATAAGTCGAATTGAACGAAATTTCACATATCAACAAAACAAATATTTTTACACGTTATATTTCGTTTTTTTTTTTTTTTTAAAGTTTCTAGTAAGGAATATAACGAAGATTGCCATCGTCCACGAACTTTTCGAACAACCCTCGTATAATTGTATATTATCGCGTACCATTTATCATGTGTCTACTGCGGGGAAAAGCATAACATAAAAAAAACTGCTCTCGGTGTCTTTGTACGTTAGAAGTCATTTTTATAGCACATTGTGTCAAATACGAACGCCTTTCACACAGTATGTCATACAGAAGTTATTACGGAAGTTGATTTTTTTTTTAATTATGTCAATCGTGAAGGTCAAGGGGGTCAGAAATGATAGCATTCTCGGAAATATCTTGTCACAAGTAGTTCACTTGTCAAATATAAAAGCCCTTTGTCCTCAATCAAACTTTATTAGGAAAAATTAACATTTTTGAACAGTAGGTCAAACTTCAAGGTCACGGGGTAAAAATTCATAGTGTATTTAGAAAGATTTTGTCACAAGCATTAGGCAGCTTTTATATGAAAGCCCTATCTCTTCTAATTCTAAACTTATAACCAAGGTTGAAGTTTTTGAAAAGTAGATCAAACTTCAAGATCAGGGGGTAAAAATTCATAGAATATTTACAAAGGTCTTGTCACGGGTAATTTACAATGTACATGTGTAATATGAAGATAGAGATAGATATTTATTTGGTATACTACGTATGCATAAATACAATGCATTTTTTGACAATATAAAATATAAAGGTTTGGCACTAAACAAAAGAATTAAAATAAAATATCGGAATCGATGGACATGAATTTGATTCACATTACATTTGTATACCAAGGATAACCCATGAAAGCCAATGGCTTATTTCCAATGGGGTCCTTATACTCATACATTTAAATTGATGTTAACTAAAATGAACAGAAAAATATAAATACTAAAGCTAAGATGTGGGATCAAGTTGACAACACACAGATCCTTAAAAATGAATTGTAGTGTTTATATTCCAAATCTTCACATGTTTGTAATCTAGACAACTAATACTAAGAAAGAACAAAACTAATAAAACACGACTCGACTTTTACACTGGGTAATTCCCCTTTCTGATAAAAATTTCTTGACATTCCTTTTAAAAGCAAATTTATTTCCAGTATTCAAAACGGGTTTAATTTCTGCAGGTAACATGTTCCAATCTTTGATTCCATTAAAATAAAAAGAATCAGATTGCTTATGCTTAATTGATGGTACAACAAAATCTGCATTTGAGGCTGATCTAGTATGATAACTACTAAAATTTGACCGAAGAAAAAATGTTCGTTAAGATAAGAAGGGGCTTTTCCTTGAAAAATATTAAAAACACAGTTGAGCCTAAGCTGAGAGACTCTATTTTGAATATTTAATAAATTTAATTTTTCAAGTATTTCATAGTTCACAGATGCCTGTGGACCTAAATTTAAAATAAATCGAACCATCTTGTTTTGACAAATTTGTAACTTTTTCTTTAAAGTTTTGGAAAGCCCTGCATACCAAGCCTACAGGCGTAATCAATATGACATTGTATCAATGCTGAACACAGAGTCATTTTTTTACAAAATGTATCTAGACCAGAAGTCTCTGTCGAGACTGAAGCTCTTCTGGTTTGTACTTATAGCAAAGGAAGAGAAAAGTACTTAAGCAATTGGGAATTGAAACTTTACAACAGCAATAAATAGAATAATGATCCTTGACAAAGTCTCTTTATATTCTTAGTGTAGTCTACTTGTGTGCCAAGTTATATTGAAATCAGACCAAAACTGTAGGAGGAGTAGCATTTTGAAAGAATTCTATAGACATTTTTATTTTTAGTAACCACGGCAACGCCATTCATGGAAATCAAAAACCGATAAACACATTTATGGATCTTAATGTAGTCTACTTATGTGCCAAGTTATATTGAAATCAGACCAAAACTGTAGGAGGAGTAGCATTTTGAAACAATTTTACAGAAAATACTATTTTTAGTAACCACGACAACACCGTTCATGGAAATCAAAAACCGATAAACCTAATTATGTATCTTAGTGCAGTCTACTTGTGTGCCAAGTTATATTGAAATCAGACCAAAACTGTAGAAGGAGTAGCATTATGAAACAATTTTACAGAAATTTCTATTTTTAGTAACCACGACAACACCGTTCATGGAAATCAAAAACCGATAAATCTAATTATGTATCTTAGTGCAGTCTACTTGTGTGCCAAGTTATATTGAAATCAGACCAAAACTGTAGGAGGAGTGGCATTTTGAAAGAAATTTCACAGAAATTTCTATTTTTAGTTACCACGACAACACCGTTCATGGAAATCAAAAGCAGATACACAGAATTATATATCTTAGTGTAATCTACTTGTGTGCCAAGTTATATTGAAATCAGACCAAAACTGTAGGAGGAGTAGCATTTTGAATCAATTTCACAGAAAATTCTATTTTTAGTAACCACGGCAACACTGTTTATTGTAATCAAAAAACGATACACAGAATTATGTATCTTAATGTAATCTACTTGTGTGCCAAGTTATATTGAAATCAGAGCAAAACTGTAGGAGGTGTAGCATTTTGAAAGAATTTTACAGCAATTTCTATTTTTAGTAACCACGGCAACACCGTTCATGGAAATCAAAAACCGATAAACAGAATTATGTATCTTAGTGTAGTCTACTTGTGTGCCAAGTTATATTGAAATCAGACCAAAACTGTAGGAGGAGTAGCATTTTGAAAGAATTTCATAGAAATTTCTATTTTTAGTAACAACGCGAACACCGTTCGTCGAAATCAAAAACCGATACACAGAATTATGTATCTTAGTGTAGTCTACTTATATGCCAACTTATATTGAAATCAGATCAAAACTGTAGGAGAAGTAGCATTTTGAAAAATTGTTTACAGACAGACAGACAGACGGACGGACGCCGGACACATTACTATCGCATAAGCTCTTCTGGTCTCTGACCATTAGAGCTAAAAACAAGGTCTCTTAGGCTCTGCCATAAATTCTTCGGATTATTATTGTTT